CAGGTGAACAGGAAGCCAATGGAGAGAAGCCAGGACCGGGGTTATGTGTTCATGCTTTTTAGTACCTGTTAAAAGACGAGCTGCTGCGTTCTGGACAGACTGTAGGAGATGCAGAGATGATTTATCTAACCCAGCATACAAAGAATTACAATAGTCCAAGTGAGTGGTATTAAAAGCATGAATCACCCTTTCAAGGTCTTTAGTGGAGAGATATGATTTCACCTTAGCAATTAGTCTTAATTGGAAAAAACTTGACTTTACAAATGAGTTAATCTGTTTATCCAATTTAAAGGCACCGTCAATGAGAAAACCCAGATTCTTGACAGTACAATGGCTCTATGAAAATAAAGGGCCAATGTCATTTGAATTTACTTTACCAAAACTGATTACTTCAGTTTTACTCTCATTTAGATTCAGAAAGTTTAGTTTTAGCCAGGTTTTTATACCATTCAGACAGCTGAAGGGTGGTTCCAATGGAGCGTCCCTGATGATGATGATGGCAGCAGCTGAKTGAGTTCTGAAGTGTACAGAAACATTTTGTCTGATAATTTACAGAGAAATGTARCCAAACTAATCAGGAGCAATTTTATCATGCAGCAGGACAATGGCCTAAAGCACACTGTCAATAAAACTAAGGACTTCATCAGAGGGGAAAGTAGAAGGTATTAGATTGTCCAAGTCACTCACCTGACCTGAACCCAACAGAGCATTTCACCTCCTGAGGAGGAGACTGAACGGAGAAACCCCCTYAAACAAACCAGAACTGAAAGAAGCTGCGGTAAAAGTCTGGAACAGCATCACAGATGAAGAATGCAACAGTTTGGTGATGTTGATGGGTCGTTCACCTTAAAACGCTGTGGTGTAATACAGTAATACTGTATATCCTAAACTGTTTAAAGGGGACCAGTTATGCAAAATTCACTTTTTAAAGGTTCTTTTACTCAACTTTGGGTATGTGCTTCTTTAAAAAACAGTCTTAGGACCAAAAAAATGCACCCAGGGGCATATTTACTGTAAGTAAATGTATTTTTAATGTGTATTAACGACAAGTTTTATACTTCCGTCATTTTGTGACGTCACAAGCCGTACGACAACCCACCTGAACCTGTGTTCAGCCCCTTACCTAGCAACCCCCGGGTGAGACTCCACCTCCTCAGTATAAGAAGCTGTCACGGTTGTTGTTGTGTAATGTGCAGCTCATTTCACAACAAGCCTCCAATAGGGCAATGGGTAGTGTTGGACCAGAGAGTGGGAGACCGGGGTTTGAGACCGGCACAGACACAATTTAATTATTTATTTATTTTCGTTTGTTATGAACACGTTTTCTCATGTACCTCTATTGTTTAGCTTATTAAAGTCTTGTTAAAGTCTATTTGTTTGAGTTTCTGAGGTATTTTGACCGCTGCTGCTCCCTGCTCTGGTAACAGCATGCAGAGTGAGAACAGAGCAGAGGAGGGAGAGGGGAAAAAAAAAGCTGGGACCACGACTCTGCCTCTGGGTCTCATATGGTTGTACAACGGAGCTTCTGCTATTATTAGCCATGCTAACGTAAACGCTGACTTTGGAGGGCGGAGTTAATGTCAACAGATTTTTGGAGGGCGTTACCAACAGAGCTCATTAACATAAACAGCTCTRCTGAACAGAAGTCAGAGCAGGCAGAACTAGAAAATTGGGAAATTTTATTATCTGAGAATTATTTTGTGCAGTAAATTGAATGAACATGGTCTGGATAGCCCACAGACATACCATAAACATTTCTAGGACCCATAATTGATCTCCTTTAACACATCTACATGTAAATACTAGGAAATAAAATCTGGCATTCTAAAATCTTGTCTCATCTTTTGAMCTTAAACCCAAATGTCCTCAGTGAACAACAAAAACAAGAGAATTTGACTTGTTCCAGCACTTTTGGAGGGGACTGTGGGTACTGTTTCCTGACATTTATGATTTAACTTTGCTAAAGTCTGGTTTAAAACAAGGCAGATTTGGGGAGTTTTTTTTAATAATTATTGTTATTTAAATGTTTTTTAGACCTGGACATTTGGACAGTTTTTCTTCATTTTAATTCACCAACTAGCAGCCCAGTGAGATTCTAAAGAGTGGATAAAACCTTTGCTGTTTYTATGCATGTTCAAACAGTAAAACTAGCACCTATTCCTGGTCTGGTTCCTCCTGCAGGTTCTGATGTGAAGGAGGCTCAGGTCATCTGTGTGTCCACAGGGACAAAGTGCATCAACGGTGAATACATCAGCGATCACGGTTTGGCTCTCAACGACTGCCACGCTGAGATCGTAGCTCGGCGCTCTCTGGTCAGGTTTCTGTACTCGCAGCTCGAGTGTTTCCTCAGGTGATGGCTGCTCCATGTACACCTGCCAGAAACATGCTCTACCAAGAACATTTTTCTCAGTCGGTTCGGATGTTATCWGTCCATTAGATGGACATTATTAGRGGTTATCAGTCCCATAGAATGGCTCCTGAGAGTGCCCCCTAMTGGGTMACCAGTYCCATATATGTTGGAATGCAACAATCTGCCARAGCCGGAGTCCGGTCTACTTTATTGTAGCCCATGTCATTTTCTCTAAAATTAACCTTAGTGGCTTTATGCCTCATATTAACCAGCTGACAGTCTGAAGCCATTCTATGGGACTGATAACTGCTAATAACATCCATTTAATGGATGATAACATCCGAAGTGTTTTTCTTGATCGCCTTCCAGCAGATATCAGCTAACCTGGCAACTGTTTACTTGCTTGAATCTTCAGCAACAACGAAGAAGAGCYTCAGAGATCCATCTTCACCAAGCGCAACGACAAAAATGGCTACACACTGAAGGAAAATGTCCAGTTCCACCTTTACATCAGCACCTCCCCCTGCGGAGACGCCCGCATTTTCTCCCCTCATGAAGCGGGAACAGAAGGTGAGCGAAGGAGAGAACAACCAGAATTTTATGAGTTAGAGTATTTGTCAGTCTGTTCTCACAATGTCTGTCTTCAAATCCATAAGATCAAGGAGACAAACACCCGAACAGAAAGGCCCGAGGACAGCTGCGTACTAAAATCGAGTCGGGGGAAGGGACCATACCAGTGCGCTCCAGTAACACCATTCAGACGTGGGATGGGGTCCTTCAGGGTGAGAGGCTGCTTACCATGTCGTGTAGCGACAAAATTGCCAGGTCTGTATTCAGCTCTTTAAAGGGATATACAGTATCATGTAAAATCAACTTTTTTGAGTTTTATATCATGTTATAATGTAAAACATGTCCAGAGTCTTGCTTTGACTCATTCATGCATATTTGAGAAATCCTGTAGGAAGCAGAAGGAGGTTCTTAAAGAGACAGAGMTGTAGGGGTTTTGGGTATATTCTAAAATGGATAATTTGTGAATTATTTAAATACGCAAATTATCTGACCTCGAGGCACCACGTTCTTAATTTGGTCAAAAATTAACCCAGGAAAGAGACGAAAACCTGTAACTT